TCCTACGCTAATTTTAATCAAGGACCTAAACAGTATGTGTAAGACGTGCTAAACAATTTGTTTCTCTAAATGAGGAGGCCTACTTGAGCCTTTAATTGCTTTACCTCCCCATTAAGTGTATTATGTATTTTTGATTGTCGCCTTAGAATTTTATCCTTTTAAACCTCTGAAAAGCCAAGCTTCCTCCCTTTAGGATTAGTAGTCCCAAAAGCCTCGAGGACTGATAGGTGGGACGGGTAATAGCACGTTGTAGGTAGCGATACCATTCCGCAATTAATACCTTAACGGGGTGGGAAGGGTAGACATGGAGATGATGATAACACGATAACACTATGCGTACGATTGGTTACCGGTGTTGTGTGGATGATCCATGTGATTTATAAACCTAGGACCCCTTTCCTTATGTTACTTTGTTTAGTATCAATAAACTCTATCTTTTTAATTACCCAAAACTCCCCTTTAATTTTTTTCACTGCATTATTCCTTTTCCTTTTAACCTTTTTTCTTCTGTGTGTATTCAATGTCTTGACTAATTCTTGCACTTAGACTCTCCCTCAAACAAATTATAGATTCCAACATGCTTGTTTGTAACCCTTATGTGTAAATTTATTTGTATATTTATTTACATTAAAATCACAACATAGCATGGCCGGGAACCACACTAGTGGATCTTGAGGGGTGCCTAACACCTTCCCCTCGAGATAATTTCTAGCCCTTGCCCGAACTCTGGTTTTCCAATTCAAAACCCTTAGTGTCCCAATGCACTTAATCATTAGGTGGCGACTCTTCAATTCCAAAACCCAATTCCCAAACGGAAATAGAGTTGTCTTCCCAAATGTCGTAAATCCGATTTCGCTTTAGAAAAAGGGGGCGTCGACAGCTACAGCAACTCTCGGAATTCCATTCCGACCCTCGGATCAAAATCTCACCTATCAACCGGAAATCGCCAAAATACTAACTTTGCCAATTCAAGTCTAATTCCACAACGGGCCTCCAAAACCACTTCGATCACACTCCTAAGTCACAATTCACCTAACGAAGCTAACCAAATCATAAAAACTCCGATCCGAGCTCATATACAAATAAGTCAACTCTTGGTCAAATCTTTCAAATTTAAAGCTTTCAACTAAGACTGTTCTTTCAAATTCATACCGATTTCCGTGAAAACCAAAACCAACGATCTACATCAGTCATAACACATTACACGGGCCAAGCCATGCCCGAGAATTGGCGATCAAAGCGCAAAAGCTCAAAACGAACGGTCGGGTCATTACAGTTAAAGTCTAGAACCACCCTGATATAGAGGTCCAAATGCCTCCTAGACCATAGGCACGAGACGGGTAGTGCACGCGTAGGATACGACTTAGAATTGACTAGTGCGCTTCAGGTAAACAACTTAAAGATAGCAATTGTGTAGTAGAGATGATAGTCAGTGCCCGCTGAATAATATGAGTAACACCCCATCTCGAGGGAGTTACGAAGTATTATTTATGTTGCACGGGGTGATCCTTTAAGCTAAAAAACTTAGCCCCCCCCCCCCACCTTGCCTTTCAATCAATTATTTGTGTTTAATATTGAACTTCCCAAATCCCTTTATTTTCTTATCTTTGACCACATAGACTAATTCATATAATTGAGTTCGGCCGAGACCCACAGTTGTGAACCTCGAAGAATGCCTAACGCCTTCTCTTCGAGGTAATTTCGAGCCCTTACCTGGTGACGCAAACTAGTTAGACAAAGTTATCTGCAAATAGGTGCCCTAACGCACCTTAATCCATTAGGTGGAGACTCTCCTCTATTAAAAACCCTTCCTTAAAAGAGTTGTCACATGTCGAAACCCGATTTCGCGAGAAAAAGGGGCGTGGCACATGCCCTTACTTGTTAACTTGTAAAGATCATGTGTTTTCTTCTTATTTGCCATATTTGTACTTAGGCCTCCAATATACTCGTTAATTGACGTTGATACCCCCCTTGCTTTCCAATTGTTGTTATTACTCACGTGCTTTCCGTTTAGTCCTTTACTGTTGTCCACATGTATATCCTGGTCCATTATTATTACTTGCGTATTTCCTACTTTATAATTCCTATTATTGTGTTTCGGTCATATGGTTGGTTCTGTTATACGTTCATTTGGAAGGATGAGTTGAACGCACGAAGGGTATTGCCGTGCTAATTGAATTGCACATAAATTTATTTATACATGGTGAGGATGAGATAAAAGCACGAAGGGTGTTACCATGCCATGTGGTTTGATATTTTAGATATACTTCTCATACTAGGAAAGATAGTAAATCTTCTACTGTGGTTCCTTTTAGTAATTGTTGACTGTCTCGCTGAGTTGTATATGATACTTTTATCTGTTATGCTTTGAACTGCTTTACTGCTAATCTAATGTAAATTTTATAACAATAAGCATCTTTTAACTAAAAGTCTCGTCACTACTTCGACGAGGTTAGACAAAATATTTACCAGTACATGGGGTCGGTTGTACTGATATTGCACTTCTGCACATTGCGTGCAGATTTTGGAGCGAAGCTGCTGGTGCCGTCAGGTGTTGATTCGGAAGATGTTTGTGCATTTGGATATAGCTGCCACTTGTCCTTTGTAGAATAGATTATTGCTAATCTGTTTATGTAACCTTCATGCAGAACGTGTATTTATTTGCATCGGTTTTGAAATTCTAAATCTTAGAAGCTCGTGATTCGTACTACCAGGTCTTGGGTAAACTTGTAAATGTTCAGTTATCTATTCTCTTTTCTCTTATAATCTCAATTGAGTTGTGTTTTTCTGTTAGTTGGCTTACCTAGCGGGTTGAGTTAGGTGTCATCACGACTTGTGATTTTTGGATCGTGACGCATATACACTGTTATACTACAACATTATATATTGTTACACAAAAAACTAACTTCATCTTCTTCCTTGAGCCTATGCGAGATTAACTCGAGTATAACTTAAATCTACTTCAAATTTAAATTTTGAAATCCTCTTGATATTTCGAATCGATCGGAACAATACCTAAGGATGTTTTCAAACAAACCCAGCAATATCCATTTCGATATTAACCTCAAATCTCAGTTCCAACTTTTGCTTTCAAAAGAAAAATAAAAAGTTTTGCTTTCAAACTCAAAATATCATATATAGTTCATACATAAAGTTTCAGCTTTTCATTGGGTTTTGTTTTTTAATCAATCAAGTGTTATATCTAACAAACTTGAATCTAATGATGGAGGTTTTCTAATTGTCCTCCAAGTACTTAATTATTAATAAGAAGTGTAAAAGTTAAATTTCTACATACTCTAGAAGAAATATATAGATGCTAACTTCTTGAACATTAAAAAGTGATTGGCTTTCTACTTTTTCTTTGTTTTTTTTATCGTGAATGAACATCATAAAATTTAAAAAAATTACTACTTTTTAAAGTAAATGGCAAAAAGAGAAGGTAAATATCAAAGAAGCAAAAGAACAAGAACAAAGAGGATTTCATATATGAAGAAGCTTACGTGGATTATGGAAGAATTGAATCTTTAATATTAGGTTAAAGGATGAAAAAGAAATTTCAAGTTATATACAAAGTGGGCCAAACAATGTAAGAAGGTAAAATAGGGAGAAATTCAAAAATAGCCCAGATTTACAAGAATAACTACAGTTTCAAAAGTAATCGACATTTAGCCATTTTTCATGTAAAGATAAATCTAAACGAAAGTATTGTTCAAAATTCGGAAAAATACTCCAGTATAATATACTGGAGATTGGAGTATAATATACCTGTGCTCCAATTTCCAGTATATTATACTGGAACTTTCGGCGTGTTGGAGTTCCAGCATAATATGCTGGAAGTTCATACACAGGTGCACTGATCTCCAGTATATTATGTTGGAACTTTTCGTGTTGCAGCAAAATAGTGGCTATTTTTCAATAATTTTACAAATGCTGGCTATTTTTAATGACCAGTCCGAAAATTGGCTAGCCCGTGCTATTTTTACGGTAAAATATGAAGTAAGTTTAGTAGCATTATTCTTTCAATTGTATTAACCCGTAATTTTTTCTTCTTTAAATTCTATTCTCATTAGTCTAGTGTGCTAAATTTCATCTTCAAAAAATAATTTGATAATTCTTTTTTTTTTTTTTTTTGCAGATAAATTTAACCTAAGCCAGTGGCGGACATATTGGGATTGATTAATTGATGCATGATAAGATATAATAATCTATATCTATATATCTATATATAAATATAAAGTAGGGATATAAGCTTGCCTAAGTGTCACCTCTTATTGCCCAAGAATCTCAATTATCTCTGTTCTCCTTTTTACCAGATTTTTCTTTTTAACTGCTCTATCAAAAATTCTAAAGTTACCTTTTATAATAATAATCCTAATAATTGTGGCTCTTCCTATAATTACTTTCACACGTCGCTTCACTTCCACTTCCGTTGCAACACCTCCTTCAACCGTTTCTTCTTCTTTTTTCGCCAGTTAAATACCCATCTCTCCCTTCGTTCTCTCCATCGGCCAACGTAAATCTCCTCTATATTTCAATTGCTTGATTCTTCCTCTATTTTTATGTATTTATTTATGCAGATATTTAAATTAATTACGTATGTTGTAAATTTTGAGCAAATTGATTCCGACTTTTTGTATCTGCCTAGAGTTCATTTGTATTGTATTGATTAGCTTTGCTTTGTTTGTTACTGTTTATAGGTTGGGTTCAAATAATGACGCTCTGGAAGAACCAAAATTAATTCTTTTACATAACCTATAATGAGATTGTTAAGATTTGTAGATCGAACAGAAATTGGTCAAGAATGAATCTAGGGTTCATGTCCACAGAAGAAGCTTCGAGAGGATTTTATGATTATTCATTCTGAAGAAGTGTTCTACAAAATATCTATACTCCCAAATATGTTGGGCTGAAAAATAACTAACTAAAGAAAACAAAGGAAAATGGAGTCTGTTAATAAATACAACTGGGCCAAGTCTAACTAACTAATATCAAGCCCAAATCTACCCAACTAACATCAGGCCCAAATCAGGTAACTCCGACACCCCCCTCAAGTTGGAGGGCGGTAACACGCCCAACTTGCCAAGCAACAACATGTGTTGTCCACCTGTGATACACCTAGTAAAAATATCAGCAAGTTGAGATGATGTAGGAACATGATGTAAAAAAATAAGACCATCTGCCAACTTTGTGCGGATGAAGTCACAATCAACCTCAATATGTTTCGTGCGCTCATGGAAAATAGGGTTTTTAGCAATGTGGAGGGCAGCCAAGCTATCACAGAAAACAGGAATAGAAGTGGACAGTTGAAGACCCAAATCTGCCAACAAACGAACCAACCAGGCTAGTTCAGCCACCACTCTACTCATGGCCCGATATTCTGCCTCAGCAGAAGACAAGGACACAACAGCTTGTTTCTTAGATTTTCAGCTAATCAAACTACCCCCTAACAACACACAATAACCAGAAACTGACTTGCGCGAATCTGGACAAGAAGCCCAATCACTGTCACAAAAAGCTTGGACAGAAAAATCAGAATAACCATTGAGATGAACCCCAACATCAGGTGTACCTTTCAAATACCTTAGAACATGTAATGAAAAACTCATATGAGGCACACGAGGTGACTTAAGAAACTGACTCAAGTGTTGCACAGCAAAACATAAATCTGGCTTGGTATGAGTGAGAAAATCCAACTTTCCAACCAAACTTCTATAAGATTCAGGGTTGGGCAGCAATGCCCCAACATCAGACTTGAGTACACATAACTCAAGTGGGGAAGAGACGGCAGAAACATCAAAATATCCATATTCAGCAACTAGCTCAGAAACAAATTTTCTTTGATGAATAAGTACCCCAAAATCAACATACAACAGCTCAATTCCCACAAAATAATTGAGTAATCCTAAGTCTTTGATCTTAAACTGATCACCTAAGAACATTTTGAGACCACTGATCTCTTGAGGATCATCCCCAGTGAGAATAATGTCGTCCACATAGACATCAAGAAAAATAGTAGATCAATATGATCTTTTAATGAAAAGGGAGCAATCATTTAAAGAATGTGTATAACCTCTAGTGCAAAGTGCTTGTGACAACTTAGCATACCATTGTCTAGATGCTTGTTTTAAACCATAAAGGGACTTTTGCAACTTACAAACCAAAAGAGAAGTACAATGAGAAGAAGAAGAAACTGTGAGGCCTTGGGGAAGCTTCATATATATCTTTTCATCTAAGTCCCCATGAAGAAAAGCATTATTCACATCCAACTGATACAAGGACCACCCCTTTTTAATGGCAAAGGCAACTAGACACCTAATGGTACACATTTTGACAACCGGAGAAAATATTTTATTATAGTCAATACCTTCAATTTGTGTGTCACCCCTAACTACCAACCTTTCCTTATATCTTTCTACACTTCCATCAGCTTTGTACTTAATTTTATACACCCATTTACACCCAATAGGCTTCTTACCCTTAGGTAATTCAACTATGGACAAGTGTTATTAGCTTCTAAGGCCTCAAATTCTTTTCTCATGGATTCCTGCCAGACTAAACTGGTAGCTGCCTGAGAATATGAATGAGGCTCAACTTCAGTTGTGTGTGCATCATAGAGAGATAAAGTAGTGGAGTTGAAAATGGAAGGAGGAAGTTTCACAACAAAGTCACTAAGATGTGAGGGCAAGGTGTGAGGTCTGCTACTTTTTCTAGTTATAGGGAGAGAGGAAGAATGTGAATGAGCAGATGTAGAGGGAAGATCTAGAGGAATGACAGTATTAGGAGAAGGAACAGAAGGAATAGGGGAGGAAGAAGCATCAACAGAAGGTGAAGTATTAGGAGATGGTGGATCAACAGGAAAAGAATGGGAAGGAGTAGTACATAAGAGAGGATCAGAACCAACAGGTGAAATTGGTATAGAAGCAGAACATTGTAGGTGTCGACGCCCCCTTTTTCTAAAGCGAAATCGGGTTTACGACATTCGGAAGACAACTCTATTCCCGTTTGGGGTCGCACATGATATTAGCGCATCGGTCATCATCTCCATATTCTACCCTTCCCACCCCGTAAAGGTTATTTAAATGTGTGGATTGGTCACGAATGCTTATTGCGTGCTATTACCTGTCCCGTCCTATAAGTCCTAGAGGGTATTTAGGACCACTATTCCTACAAGGTAAGGTCTAGGCTGAACCCTTAGGTTTAAAGGACAAACTGCTAGGCGACATACATAACAAGTAGGACTACACATAAAGGAACCATACAAAGGCAAATAAGAGGCTCACAGATCCCTCACAAGTAAACATGTAATTAGCACGTCTCAAACACATTTAAGGTCTTAAAAGAACGCGAGTTTAAAGATCAGTTTTAGCAGAAGGTTTAACTACAACTGAGTGATCCAAAGAGTGTTTGACTTGCAAAAATATAACTAAGAAAACAGTTGAGTAAGTAAAGGTGAGGGAACTGTTAAAACATCGTTTTAAAAAAAAGGATTTGAAAATACAATAGTTTAAGTAAACAAGTATCAAAATAACGTGAGCCTGGGCGGAAAGGTACCAGTAATTTAAAAGCTTAATAGAGCACGAATCAGGAAATTAGTGGGAGCATATAAATACGAAATAGGTTTCCAGATAAAGAGATTTTCAGTAAAAGAGTGGACTTCAGAGAGACGGGTAAAAGAAATGGGAAAGTTAAAAGGTTGAGTAGCTTGAAACTAGTAAAACAAAATCAATCATCTTTATTATTATTGGGCCTAAAGCTTGCCTAGGCAATGTATGTATTGCCTTCTTGTCTTAAAAAAAAAGTGGTGAACATGCATATTGATTCCAGTTTTAAAGAGAAGACGCAGTCAAACAAACTTATGTTGTTAAATTGAACAGCTAGTCAGGCGTTCAGCAATTGCAACCCTAAATAACATGATTTCTAATGCACATAAAGCTCCTAAAGCATGGTCTCTAAATGCAGTAGTAGTTTCATAACAGTTATTTGTTGATTACTAACTGATCACAAAGTGAGTATAACAATCTGAAAGTAAAGAGCCTAAAACAGGATATCTAGGTGTAAGATGCATGTCCTACGCATGGCTTCTATTGCACAAATTGGTAAGTAAAGCCCTATAGACATATTTTCTACCCATTAATTAAACTAAGCATGCATAATCCCTCCCAATTTCACTATAACCCCAATCAATTGTTTAAAAATTATTACAAACCATGATAGCTAAATTACATAATGAAAAAAATAAAATAAGAAGCTACTCTATAGGGAGCCTTCAACCAGGCCCAATCTTCCAACCTCACTTCTTTCGAGTTTCACAGCCTTGACCATGGTTTGGGTGCGCCAAAGCTCCCTAAGGGCCCAATGCGGGTCCTTGGCCAATACCAGCACCCAAACATTACAAAATGTTTGAACAAGTGCAGTGTGGAATTACCAGCCTTGTGCATCAAAGTTCAATGGGTACTCAAAGGTGCCCAAGGCAATGCTTACACGAAGGGGGGTAGAACCTAAACTCTAGGAGTAGTGAGAGTGATAGAATTTTCTTTAAAGAAATTGAGTTGAAAAGCAGTTTTAAAAAAGAATGATCCATGTAGAACCAGCTTTGAAAGAAAAACAATGGGACAACTTTGACAAAACTCAGAACCAAAATACCTCATACAATTTCGGGCAGTAAACACAAACAGGAAAAGGGAAGTGGGGGCAAATAGTTCACATGTAACAACACAGTTGCACCTAGATACCAAAGGAAAGCATTTCAAAACTTAGACAGTCAACAGGTTTAACCAAAAGGGCTCATGATCACATGCTGAGAATGTACTGGGGCTAGGAAGTAGGAGAGAACATGTATTAAGCAAACCAGTAGGCATGCCGGATTAATAGAAGGATAATCACACAGGGGCATGCTAGTTGCAATAAGACAGCAGAACCATAAGTAAAAGCATAGAAGAAACAAAATAAAGTGCAGCATGTATAAAAGCATATTGTTTTGGATACTACAAATCAAATAGAGGGCATACCAGTCAAGGATGAGATAGTGTAGAGCAGTAGTGTGCAGGGAAGTGAGCAGTAGTATGCAGACCAAACAATCAGCAATGTATAGACCAGTAGAATAATGAGCAGCCCCCAAAGATCACTCAGTCTTGGCTTTCAGCCGACTGAATAATCAGTAGTCAACAGGAAAGTGGGAGAGGATGTATAGAAAACAAGAGAGAACACCAAGTATGCTTATGTGTGTAAGAGAGAGTTCAGAGCAATGAACTTTTTTGTTCTTGTGTGTAATGTGCAATGTATCAGTGTGTAATGCAAAAGAGAATGGGGGTACTTATTGCTCTCAAATTAAGTGAAAATAAGGTAATACGTATAGACTGATCATAGTTATGGAAATAATACCAATTAGAATCAATTAAAAACTCGGACTCCCTTCAATTAAGGAGTCATAGTTCAAACGGGTACAAATTGTATCAAATAAGGAAAATTATTATTTGCAAAACTGGTATTTCCATAATAGGAGTAGTAAAAGTATACAGAATATTTTAAGTATGGAAAGTATAAGGACAGCATATTGTGCACACAAATTAGTTCAAAGAATCACAGATGAAATTGAAAATCACAGGGAATCAGTACTAAGTAAGGAGAGCATTTCACAAATAAGGAAGTGATTCAAAAATCAGTGTAAAACTTCTAAGGAAAACATATACAAATTCAGGGATTCGAAGAGATGCAAAAAATCAGCAGAATATTTGGTAAACGATGAACAATTAGACCTATAAAACACAATAGGCATGAAAATCAGAGAACCCTAAGCAAGAAATCACAGAATCAATAGAAGGCTGGAACTCTAATAGCAAAATTAAAGCATAGAACTCGGAGAGTAACCAGAAGATCACACCAACAAGCACATAACACAAACATAAACACATAATACTCAAAAGATCAGAAGATATAGTGATTTCGAAAGGGTTCAGGAAACCCTAGTTTTAAAAGAAGAACAAAACGTTGAAAACTTGAACAATCGAAAAGATCTAGTAGAGAGTAGTGTAAAACACAAAAGAATAAGTTAAAAATCGTTTAAAAAGACAAGGTTTTTAAGAAAATTAGGGTTTCGTAATAAACCAGTGAGAGGTAAGGAACCTGGCTGTGAAACTCGTTAATAATGATGCTCGCAGCACCATCGAACCATAAACCAACGGAGAAAGGTCGGAGACAAACCAGGCAGAGCTTCCGATGACCATCTTGCATAGTGGAGGCTTCTGGAGTCTCGAAGATAGAGGGAATCAACAAGACAAGGTTTAACGGTGACTGGTGGTTGAGAGAGGTGAGGCTGGAGGTGGCCGGAGAGGCGGTCGATTCATCGGAGACGAAGGAGAGAACCAGAAGGTTCTAGACAGAAGGGAGAGCAAGAGTCAGTGTAGAGAGAGAGAGAGAGAGAGAGACCGTCTCTGAAATGGAGGGGGTTTGGGGGGGGGTTGTTGAATTTAATTTTGGAAATAAAACCTGGGCCGTTGATCTCATTTGATTAACGGCTCAGATTAGATTAAAGTTGGACCGGGTCATTAAATCGGATATAGGTTGGGTGATTTGAGGACTGGGTCGGGGGTTTTGGGGTTGAAATTGGGGGTTCAATTTCTAGTTAAAATTGGAATGTAAAGGGGTTATAACTGAAATGAACGGGGCTAAATGTTAAACAGCCATTTCTTCTCTTTTTATTTTAATAAAAATAGTTAATATAGTTTTAAAAACCAATTAAAAGCACTAAGTTGAGTAATAACATATAAATGTTAATTAAAAAAACACTGGGAGCGATTTTGTAATTATAAAATACTATTAATCGGAAAATAGGCTATAATTGCAATTATAGCAATTTAGCTTTAAAAATACCAAATAAAATTATATAAAATATGCAAAAAATCACCTTAATTATATCTGGGTGTAAATATGAGAATAAGATAAATTATTCACCAAAAATGATAGTCTGGAAATAATTATTGAATTTTGTACTAAATAGACAACAAAGTGATTTTAAAAAATCTTTAAAATAAGGAAAAATACCAAAACTCTTGGGTATGCTTATATATGCATGTACATACTATTTTGAGAATATTTTGAGTGTATATAAAAATATATAGGGAAAAATTGGGTATCAACAGCTGCCCCTCTTTACCCGGGAAGGATGAAAGAGTTATCGGGTAAAGATAGGATGGCTAATTTTGACTGAAAGAGGTGATTTGCAAAGAATTTCGACCAAGCTCTGGTTCTTGAGCTGCCTACATATCCCTGGTTTTATAGGAATCAGGCCATATGTAGTTCGGGATCCATCGGCGGAGTATGCCAATAGAGTTTCGAAAAGGACGGACGCGATGTTTAGGTTGTAGCTGAAATCTGATAGGCTGCGGGAACTGGAGCGGGATCGCTCCTGTTGAGATGGTTGTTGCTAGCCGGCGTACCTCCAAGTGAGCAATACAACGTATAATGTGCGTAAATTTAAACGTGATGCAAGTTACCTTTGGACCATGAATGTTGTCTTTGGATGGTTGTCGACGTCCTCAGACCATGATGTCCTAGGCCATGAAGCGCATAATAAAGGATTCGCAGGCTATGAAATGATGCTCTCGGGCTATGATAATGGTGCCTCCGAACCATGATGCCTTTGAATGATGATGTGCAGAATATAAAGCGGGGTCCTCGGGCCATGGCATGGCGTTCTCGGGCTATGAAAATGGTGCCTCCGAACAATGACGCCTTTGGACAATTTGGCGATATTTGAACCCATGAAATGCAGGATTTGGCGATATTTCAGCCCATGAAATGCAGGATTTGGCGATATTTCAGCCGATGAAATGCAGGATTTGGCGATATTTCAGCCGATGAAATGCAGGATTTGGCGATATTTCAGCCGATGAATGATTAAATATAAACTGGCGATCTTTCAACCGATATAGAGATTTAAATGCAGTTGGCGATA